GCGCCGTCGCGCGGGCGTCCCTCCTCCCTGCCGCTCGCGCGCCGGAGCGCAGGGGCTTTCAGGGTCTCCCCCTCCCTTCCCCCGCCGCGCCGCGCCGACCTTGGTGCGCCAAAGGTGAGGCAGTCCATGTCCTCCGTGGCGACGCCGTAGACGAGCCCTGCCTTGGCCATGGCGGCGCACTGCGCCTCGGCCTCAGTGGGCGCGTCGATGACGGGGACGCCCATCAAGCGCAGCAGCTGCTTGCACTCATCATTGTGCTGCTTGGTGACCTGCGAGAGGGAGGGGCGGCGCCGAGCTGGCGGGCGTCTGCATGACGCTTCGGCGCGGCTGCTGGCATGTGGGCGCCGCTACGGCCTTTCGGCCACCTGTTGGCTTTGGCCACCACTGCAGCCACTGTGAGGATAACGCCATACCCAGCCATGAAATGTTGTCAGTCCCTTGCCTACTACAGTAGCTGTGATGATTTTGCTCATGGGCAAATGCACACGCTCCCACGCCATTGTACAACACAGCCAATCTGCCCCGCAGCGCCCCGCCCCCCCGCGCCTTGATGGTGCGCTTGCTGTACCGCTCGATCGCCTCCTCATCCCCCGCCTCCTTCGCGGCCTCCAGGCCCTTGTCCGCCTCCCCCCGCCGCTCCAGCCGCTGGTCCAGCTGCGCGCGCTTCAGCTCCGGGGGCTTGCCGTCAAATACGTACACAGGGCGCATGCCTGGGGGGCGCGCAGGCGAGCGCGCGCGTGCGTGCGGGCGGGGAGGCGCGTCCTGGCTGGGGGTTTGGGGCGCAGGGACAGGGAGCGCGAGGCAGGCGCGTCATCCTGCCTATTGTAAATGAAAATGCCAACATCTGGGGCAGCCAGCTCGCGTCCGAAGGGGGCGCCATTACGCCATGGTTGCCCAGTTCAGGCTGTTCTAGGGGCGCACCGGCCTCTAACAGGCGTGTTGTGCGGTAAAACATGCCCTGCAGGTGGCTTGTGACCTCGCCCGTCTCTGTGGTCAGCAGCTGGTCACCCTGTAGTGATTTGGGTGGCAGGTGGGACCCAGGGGTGGGCAGCGGGGGCTGGGCACTGCCACCCAGGACATGCGCAGCAGCGCGTGCTGCGCGCGCTGCGATGCACGGCCGTGGCGCCTGCCACTGTTTTACCAGACATGACTCACCTGCCGCCCGACGACTATCAAGAACTGGTATATGTGCATGCTTGCGTCCACGGCGATCTTGCGACCAAAATAATTGTCGAACTTTTGCTCCTTGATGGCCTCGTGAGCATTGTCCCCGAGCAGCTTGGTGAGGCCTTGGATCCCCATATTTGTGGATCCACTGCTGCTGTGCGGGGCTGATCACAAACACCTAAGTGATCTTGTGGCGCGTTCGGACCTCAAGGTGTGTGCTGCACGCGCAAGAGGCCGCTTACAATGACACCGTCAGCGCATTGCATGGTGCTTAGAATGACACACGCAGCTTGTGCCGCTGGCCATGGAGTTTGTGTGCAGGTGGCGGCGGTGACGTTTTTGAACGCCTCTCGGTGGTCACTGGGCGCGAAAGGGGACACTGGTTGACCGCAATGTCTGATGCTGCACGCCGAGCAAACAGCAAATGCCGGTGTCATGAGGTCCGAATATAAGTATGTGCATGATCAAGTCACCCAGCACTGCCCGTAAGTTTGTGTGCCATTCCAGCATATGTGCATATGTGTACATAAGGAGTCAAGGCAGGCGATAATCGCCTTGCCGCGCAGGCTTTGTTGTCCTGATCATGAAACAGCTTGTGTGACAAGCTGTCACATCAGAGGCGGAGGGGGCAAATCAGTCAACCAGCGTAAGGCCCAACCAATGCTGATCACTGCTCGACATCGCAAGGCTGAGAATCAGTCCAGGCTGCATCACGCAACCCCTGAGCTCAGGCCCACTGCACTACCCTCTCACATTACCGTGGAGCACGCACGCTTGTCAGATCTGGCTGGGTTTGTCTGAGTGTCCAGCTTGTACCTGTGCATCAGTGCTACAATACAAAACTACACGTCAATCAACAGCTAGGTAGCTAGCCATTTATGGTCGCTGTTTGGCACACTTTGCACTGAGGGAGCCCGCCCGCTGTGGACTGCAAGTTTTGCATCGCCACGTCCACAAGGCGTCACCATGTGCGGCCCAGCTGGACGATGCCAACTGAAGTTGCCACATACTGTACTCCCACTGTCAGTCAAACATGGCGAGATTGCAGGTTGTGCTTTACTGATATAGATAGGTTAGTATGATGAAGTGAATGAAGGCCGCGCCAACGGCTGCTATGCTTGCTGTTCACGGCGCAGTGTCTCACACATGTGAACCTGCGAACAGCGGGCAGGTCAGCGCAAGCAGCGCGCACCTCCAACTGGTGACGCCTGACTCACCTGCCAAAGTGGCCATTATTCCTCCACCAGCGACGTGAACTCCAATGCGTCAGAAGTTGCATGCTCGTTGCTTAATGATCAGTACGGTACCCATGTCAGGAAAGACTGGTCGGCCCGCGGCCTAGTTCAATTGTCGCGGCCAGTTGCGCTGCGTGTAGCTATTCATGGTGTTTATTGGATATGGCATAGCCCATGATGTGCGGGCACGGCTACCGTATTATCGTAGCGACTGGCGCGACGGCGCCGCTGCCGGAGCTCGCATCCTCGCGCCCAGCACTTTCATTTTCCTCGCCAGCGCCCTCCCCGCGATCGCGTTTGGCCAGCAGCTGTCAGATGATACAGGTAGGGTGCGCTGCAATTGGGCGCGCCTCCGCGACGCCGACTTGTGTTGCACGTAACAAAAGACGGTCTAGGCTGGCTGAGATGCAGCCGTTATACCTGCTGGTGCTGCTGGTGCAATCGCCGCAGCAGTGCTGCCGTGCTGCCAGCGGCCCCTGACTGCGAGCCCGCCGCCCTGCGCAGGCGGCACGCTGGGTGTCGTGCACGTCCTGATATCCACCGCCGTCAGCGGGATGGTCCAGGCGAGGCGCCGGCGGCGCCGCCTGCCCGCATGAGCGCCGCTCGCGTTGTTGCAACGGCCAGAAGCCTGCAGAGCCGTGGGCCTCAGCGTCACAGCAGCTGCGTACGCTGTACACCGGCACCCCGCCCACCCGGCCGCTCAGCCCCCGATAAGTTGCATCGCGCGCCCCCGCAGCGGGCGCCGATTTCCGCCTAACCCCTCACGCGCGGGCCCCGCCCCGCAGGCCATTGCCGGTGGCCAGCCCCTGCTGATCATCGGCGTCGCGGAGCCCATTGGTGGGCGGCGGCTCTGTGAGCCCGTTGATGACAGGAAGCCCGCGCCAGCCTAGCAGAACCACCCGAGAGCCCGTGCAGTGATGCGCCTTGCTCGTGCGCGACGAGGCGCCATGTGCGACCAGCTTTGTCGTGCGCTCGCGCGCGGCGGGCCCCTTCTCACAACAACCCTGCTGCCCTTTGCGTCCCACTCCCCTCCTGATACCATTGCTGGCCTCAGTCCTCTTGTATGGATTCATGTGAGCTGCTGCAATGTGGCTCGGCATGGTGCTGCAAGACCCGCGCAAACGTTGACCAGCGGCGGTGCAGCTCACACCCAATTACGAGTATTGACCTTGTCCCTTCACATACACGAGCCTGCACACGCTAACACGCACACGCGCACATGCACACACACGCGCGTACAAACGTTCACAAATGCACACACACACACACACACACGCGCGCGCGCGCGTGCGCACGCACGCACTCACATGCACAACAGCGCGCGTGCTCATCCCCCCCACACACATCACGATCACCAGGTATTCCTTCGCGGCCACCCAGCCCCGTCTGGGTGCGGCCCTGTTCCTGCCCTGGGCCGCCTGGGTGTGCGCCTGGACGGCCGCCATGGTGCTGGCGCTCGCCCTAGCGGACGCGTGCCGCCTGATCGACAAGTTCACGCGGTTTGCTGGGGAGCTGTTTGGCATGCTGATTGCCGTATTGTTCATGCAGGTCGGGGTCAAGGTGAGCAGGGGCCGGCCCCAGCCGGTAGGAGTTCCAAGGGTTTAGGGTTTGAGGCCTGGTCGGGCTCCAAGGGAACCGGCTCACACACAGGTTTTGAATCTGGGAGCTAAGCCGCTGGCAGGGTTTGGGAGTGGGGTAAAGGGAAAAGAGGCCCCGCAAGGTTTTGCGCACCAGGCTGGGGGTGCCGCATGCGCACACTGGCAGGACTGCAGAGTGGGCGCGGAGTGTTGTGGCTGCAGCCTCCAGGGGCGGCCCCCTCCAAGCCCGCCCCACCTGCATGTTCCCACGACTGATCAACGCGCCCGCCCATACACAGGGCATAATCAAAGAGTTTGGCGCCCCGCATGGCGCGCCTGGCGCCGTCGCATCACCACCAGACGCCGCCACCCGCCTGGCAAACACCGCCAACGGCCTATGGGCGCTCGTGCTGGCCGCGGCCCTGCTATCTGCGTCGCTCGCCTCGCGCCGCGCCCGCCACTGGCGCTTCCTCCGCGGCTGGGCGCGCGGCGCCCTGGCTGACTACGGCTGCCCCCTCGCCTTCGTCGCGGTGACCGCCCTCTCCTTTGCCCTGCGCGCCGTGCCCGGCGCGCCGCGGCGCGTGACGACCCCCAACACATGGGAGCTGGGTCCTTCCTCATTCCTCGTGGGTGGCCGCATGGCCCAGGTCCCCCCAGAGTTCGTTGCCGCGGCGCTGGTGCCCGCGTTGGTCATTGCTGTCCTATTTTTTTTCGACCACAACGTCAGCTCCCAGATGGCACAGCAGAAGGAGTTCAACCTGCGGCGGCCGCCGGCCTACCACTACGACTTCCTGCTGCTGGGGCTGCTGGTGAGCCGGGCTGCTTCCACATTTTGTGCCTCTTGCTGGCCACGCGGCTGTTGCTCGTCAAGGCTGCAAGCGATCTGCGCAGCTATGGAAAGCGGGTCTGAGGTCTTCTGACGTCCCGCACTGGACGCCAAGGGGATGCCCCCACCCTTTGCTGTTGAATCCAGCGCCGCGCATGAGGCGCTGATATCGTCGGCGAGGGGTTACCGGGGCTGTCAACCTGGGAGCACAGGTCGGCGTGCGCATCCCGCTCTGCCTGAATATTACAGCTTGATCCCTGACTGATGCGCCCGCCTCCGCTTATGCATCCTCCCGCAGACGCTGCTGTGCGGCCTGCTTGGTCTGCCGCCCGTCAACGGCGTGCTGCCGCAGGCGCCCATGCACACGCGGGCCCTGGCCACCCTCAAGGCGCAGGCCGCAAAGGCCGCGACTAAGCAAGGTGAACAGCGTTGCCTTTGGCGCATCAGGGTTGGTCTGCGTTGATTGAACAATTCAATGTTTGGAACTCTGGGCTGTCCAATGCTGGCGCGTCGTGCAGACCAGCCAAGCGCATAATGTGACCTGGCGCCTCGCACCGTCCCCAGCCGCCAGTCAGGCCAACCTCACCGAAACCGCTTCGGCGCGCGGGCCGCCGCCGCCGCGGGCCGGCCCCTCTGCCGGGAAGGAGGACGGATCCAACGGCGGGGACGCTCTGTTGGTGGACGGCCGCGGAGAGGTGGAGGTCCTGCCTTTGGAGGTGCGGGATTTGCAGGCTGTCGTTGGGGCTGCTTACCTTTGTTGCTGCGGCTGCACCTGTTGTCAGTGCTGTTTCCAAGGCCGCGTATCGCCCGTGCCGGAGGCCAGCGGTGCTTCAACCGGCAGCTTCCAGGAATTATCCCCTCAGCTGCCACGCCGTCCTGTCACTGGAGCGGCGGCTGCTCGTGAAGTCAGGCACGTACGAGCGTCAACCATGTGATCTCTGCGTGTGTGCGAGTTGCACGACCCATACATTCCCCCCTTACTTGGCAGGTCAACGAGCAGCGCGTCAGTGCCCTGCTGCAGGTTGGTTAAACTTTGCAACATTGATGCACGTGATGGCACGTCAATCTTGTATATGGCTGTTCAAACTGTGCCGCTGAGCCCTCTGCATCGCCACGGTGTCAGCAAGTAGCAGCGCTCGCATGCATCCCAGTGCTGCATTGATGTCCCATTCTTCCCTGCCCGCTCCTCGCTTGCCCACCCACCACCGTGCCCCCCAGTCGCTCTTCGTGGCGGTGGCGCTGGCCCTCACGCCCGCCATCCGGCTGGTCCCCACGTCTGTGCTCTGGGGCTACTTTGCCTTCATGAGCCTCGAGTCCCTGCCAGGCAGCCAGGTGAAACGCCGCTCGCACCGCCAACCCCATGGTACCGCCCAATTGATGGGGCAAGCGCTCAGCCGGTCCTTACTGCTGCAAGGCTGTCATCGCGGTCTCCGAACCACCTCAGCACCTCAACCCTTCGTTCGCCCCCATCGATGTCGTCTGCGCCCCACCCCGTCTTCCTCCCTCGCCCGCCACCCCCCCCCCGCTGTTCAGTTCTGGGAGCGGCTGCTGCTGCTGGCCACCGACCCCAAGCGCCGCCACGTCGTGCTGGAGCGGCCCCACGCGGCGTACCTGCAGCTGGTGCCCTTCAGGGCCGTGGCGGCCTTCACGGCGCTGCAGCTCGCGCTGCTCTCCGGCGTGTGGGCGCTCACCACGTTTGGCGGGGTGAGGGCGCGGCCGCAGGCAGCGTGTGGCGGTTGCGCTCGCGAGGGCGAGGGTGCGTATTAAGTGCATCGAGGCGTTGCCGCGCGCCTGACTCTCCTCGCGGTCCGCGAACTTAGCTGCCCAGGCAGTCGATGGCCGCTGCCCTATGAGCTGGCATGCTGCATACACACAAACCCGCTCGGGCTTCACCTGTTGGTGGTTTGATCACGTCTTGTCACAGGTGGCGTCGTTCCTGTTCCCCCTGCCCATCATGGCGCTGGTGCCCCTCCGCCAGTACGCGCTGCCCCTCATCTTCAGCAGGCACGCCGGAGGAATGGGGGGAGCCGGCCTGCAGCGGCAGTGTCACGCTGCGCCACAATTTTGAAAAGGCAATGCTGAACGAACGGCACTGGTCTGATCCTGTGCATGTGCACACGGCTGCAAGAGCTCCGCCTCATCATTGCTCACAAGACCGCTGTGCCGACCCTCCTCCTGCATTGCTTCACTCCCCTGAGTCATGCGCTGCCGGCCGCACGACACACCTCGGCACTGCCATCCCCTTCAGATCTGACCTGGCGCAGCTGGATGCAGCGGAATACGAAGAGGCGCCCGGCCTCCCCCACGCCGCCGCCCTCCAAGACGCTGCAAGCGGCGGCCTCCAGCCGCCGAGCCTTGAGCGCGGGGCCGCCGCCGACCAGGGCAGCGAGGCGGCGCAGAGGGATGCTGAGTTGATCGACTCTCGGACCCACAGGTTCCAGATCGCGCACCGCGTCAGCGCCGAGGAGATGCGGCGGCGGCAGCGGCTGGCCCGCCAGGGGGAGATGCTCGGCGGCGGGAGTGGTGGCACCGCAGGCGGCTGGGACGTTGGGGGGCCAGAGGGGTTGGGTGCTCGAGGCGCGGCGGCACCCTTGGCAGCCAACCTTCTCTGGAGGCGCCACTCGCACGAGGTTTGAAGTGCAATTTAGGCTTGAGACGCAGCAGCACAATTCTTCTGACTTGGTTGAGTTGAGATGTCCTGGGTCCATTGGCTCGAGTAGCAGTTGGGCGGCAAGCTGCCACACCCGTGCTCCTTCATGTATCATTGGGGCTTGAACATTGATTCTGTGCACTGCTGAGAGCCGAGTTTCGTCGGTACCTTCCTGGCACCAACATAGGCAGCCGCGGGGGCCTGGGGGAAGGGAAGAGCGGAAATGATGACGTGCGCACCAGCAGCCGCCTGGTAGCAGCCATCTTCCTGCTGGTGGGCAAGGCTGCGTGTTTTGTCCCAGCACTTGCGCACCAGGGCATCACACTCACCGCTTCGGCGTTGCCTGCTGGAGGGGGCTACCAGGAATCCGCACCTATAAGATGCGCGGAGCCCCCTTCTTTGGCCGGGCCGCATCAGAAACGCTTCACCGCCGGGTGGCCGCTTGGCACTGTCCACATTGGCTGTGCCTGAGCGCATGCTCCAATTGCCCCGCGATACGCACGCACCGGTTTGTAACTCAATTGTATGGCCTTGCCACTGTGCTCTGTCAGCCGGCAGCCCATGCGAGAGGCGCGCCTGTTGTCAGAACATTTCGTGTCGGTCTCGAGAAATGTCGCACGCCTGGTCCGGCTCGCACAGCTGGCTGGTGCATGCGGTGGTTGAGAGCTGCCAGGCCTCACGACGCGCGCCGCCGCCGCGGATGCTTTTGCATGCTGTGGGCCGTACTATCCGATACATGACGCCCAGCGGCTGGCTGCCAGGCATCAAGGTGCTCTGCAACCGATTTGCGCAGGTTTTCTGGAGAGAGGGGGGCCGCTCCGTGCGACGCACCAAGAAAGGCTCTGGTGCTGCCCCGCAACATACATCGCTGCCAATTGGCCGGCCGCGGAGCTCGTTGTTTGATTATTACCGGATTGAATGTACAAAATTCGAGGGCCTTGGTATGCACAGCTCAGCAAGACCCAAAACAATTCCACTGAACACACTCAACACGTACATCCTTCTACAGCACGCGTGAGCGGCCGCAGCCCCGCGCCAGCACGCAGGCGGACGCGGCTGCAGCGCCAGCCCCTCATGCCGCCTGCACGCCCGCGACTGCGGGCGCAGAGGCTCCCGGAGTTGGAAGGGCCGCAGGGACCGCTGCGCCTCCAATGGCATCACTGGCAACCGGCTCGCCCTGCGTAGTCTGCTGCTCTCTCTGCTGCGACGGCGGTTTGGGCGCCAGCTGCCGAAGCGGGTCCTCTCTGCTCTCGCCAACTTGGCACTGCGGCTGCTCCTGCTGCTCCTGCTGCTGCTGCTGCTCCTGCTTGTCACGCACCTGCTCCTGCTGTGGGGCCAGCGACAGCTCTCCACCACCGTGGCCATCACACGTGCTGTGCTGCGGCTGAGCTCCCACACGACCGCTCTCGGGCCCCCACTCATCACCCTTCTGCTGTGCATCCGTTTGGTCGTCTCGCCGCCCTGCTTGCCGCTGCTCCCCCTCCTCGGATGCAGTCTCCTGTTCCTCGGGCTGCTGCTGCTGCTGCGGCGGCGGCGGCTGCGGCGGCTGCTGCTGCTGCTGCTGCGGCTGCTGCGGCTGCTGCTGCTGCTGCTGCTGCTGCTGCTGCTGCTGCGGCGGCTGCGGCTGCGGGTGCGGCTGTGGCAGGCCTGTGTTTGTGTGCAGCTGCTGTCCAGCTTGCGCATGCGCATGCATGTACACCTCGTCAACAGGCACCCCGATGACAATGCCCTGCTGTTGCTGCTGATGCTGCTGCCACATCTGCTGCCACATTGCCTGCTGCCACAGAGCCTGCGGGTGGAATGCATGCACGAAAGGGGCACCCGAAGCCTGCGCGCCAGCCGCAGCGCCTGGCGGCAGCAAGGCCGGCCACTGTCCGTGAGGAGGCATTGCGTGCTGCTGAGGTGGTGGATGCTTGCCGCCGCCACCATGCTGCTGCTGCTGCTGCTGCTGCTGCTGCTGCTGCTGCTGCTGCTGCTGCTGCTGCTGCTGCTGCTGCTGCTGCTGCTGAGCGTGGGGTGCGCCGCAAGTCGCCGCCGCGCCTTGGGGCGCCGGCCCCGGAATCATGGGCGGCATGCCCCCCCACGCCATGCCGCAGCCACCGCATGTGCCGCATGGGGGCTGCGGGCCGCACACCTGCCAGGGCCCCGGCGGCATGCCGGGCGCATGAGGCGGGGGCGCGCCGTGCGCGTGTGCATGGCCATGCGGCGGCGGCATGCCGAATCCCATGAACTGCGCCGCCCACTGCTGCTGCGCTGCAGCCCACTGCTGGTATGCAGCCGCCGCTGCGTCGTCGGGTTGCTGCACAGACTCTGGTGAGCGTGGCACTCGCAGATGTGACTGCGGCGTCGGCGCGCGCAAGGCTGCTGCGGCTGCCGCATAGTGGGCGACGCCTGCCGCGGGCGGCGCCGGCGGCGGCGGCGGCGGCGCGGCGCGCGGGGCGCCGCCGGCGCTGCCGGATTCGACGGGCACCCATCCGGGGACGTTGGGGCACGGCAGCGGCGGG